ACAGACTTAGAAGCTAAACTTTCAGTATGTAAATCTGGGTAATCTGTATTCATAGTTTGAAGTCATCAAACAGATAACATAAGAGCCTATCCCAGATGGTATAGTCTAGAATATCAAAGAGTAAAGAAATATTGAGAAGATTCATTAGTTACTTGGACAATTGAGAGTAACTATGAACTACATCGAAAGTTCAGATGTTGAGGATAAGGACAACTTCGGAGAGTCACTTCTGATTACCTATATGAAACTCTTAAAGATTTCTAATGAAGAGAGTATACTGGGTTACGATTTCAAGATTAAAAATATAATAAGTCTTTATGAGGCTATTGAACAAAGAGTAGAAGACATTGAAGTCAAGAACATATATTTCAGGTATTAAGATGAACTAAGCGAGCAGTAAAATATCTAAATTGGAAGATTGATACTTGAAATTTAACTTCCTTTAATTGAGGAGATGATGCATATCATTGGTAAACTCTGTATCAGATAGCTTAGGAACTTGTAAAAAGAGCTTTTGAACCAGAAGATTTTTATTTACCTGCTAGAAGATAAGAATGAACCGCTATATGTAAGATTTCATTTAAATTAAATTTTAATTAGGGCGATGAGAAGCAAGATAGTATGAAGCAGAAGGAAGATAAAGATAAGGTCAAGAACAAATTTATTGATCTTCAAAGCACTTAAGTAGAAATTAGACAAGCAAAGTGCATTTATGACAGATTTAGACAGCATTATTAAAAGTTGTTAGATGATGAGAGGGCTCAGAAGGCCAAAATTGATAGAGACAAACAGGAGCAGATTAATGCTGAGAAAATAGTAGGAATCAACATCAATGATTTCTTTGATTCAGGACCAAAACAAGTCAGAAGAAGAGGAAACAGATGAAATTGATCCTTAAATTAATATTAAAAAACACAAACATGATAATTTCCATTAAAATTTCTAGATCATCTTATATGCAGATAATTTATTTTGATGGGGTTTTGGGGTTTTGGGGTTTTGGGG